ATTAAACCCAAGATCCCGAAACACCCTCAGACCCTGTCTCAGTCTCTCCTTCCGCGCCTGGATCGGGCGTGCGGCTCGCCCGGCACTTCAGCCGCCTGGTCGCGCAGGGGAGCACGGGATGCGTCCTGGTAACACTGCACCTTTAAGGTTTAGGGTTTGGGGCTTAGGGTTTAGGGTGTACAAAGAATGACACAAATGGACAGACATCTCGCTAGAAGAACACAGACAGATAGACCTGTAGACGGATGGACAGATAGACAGATAGACAGACAGAGAGACAGATAGACATGTGGACAGATGGAGGGGGAGAGAGATCGAGAGGTGTGCGCATGCGGATGTAATATATGCACAAACACCCATAGTTGAATTTGTCAGATAACACATCAACATATATACAAGCTCAATGTGAATATCCGTATGTATGTGTATGTATATATATATATATATATTTATTTATTTATTTATGTATTTATTTATTCATTTATTTATTTGTTTGTATATTTATGTATTTANNAGAGAGAGAGAGAGAGAGGGGGTAAAAGACAAGAAACAGCAGACGTGGCAAGCAAGCGGTATGAAACAGAAAATTGGACACGACACCGATCAAAGAGTGACAGGAAGAATCTGGCGCAGTGATAAGTCATAACTGATGATACAGGAAACTCTGACACACGTGAAAAATCGGGAATGATGAAGAGTTTTATGCAATGATACATACAAACACAAAACACATATGTACGAATAGTACCTGCGTGTGTGGGAGTGTGCAGCAATGCTCACAAGCGGAAGCCAGGCCACCCTTTCACTCTATGGAGCACATCGCACAGCATGTCCAAAAGACCATAGCAGCGTCTTAAAACAATCAGCAATCTAGCAAACTAGGCTCCGAGATCGACTCCTGTCTCGCTCTCATTGACTCCTCAAAAAGTGTGAAACTTCAAATCCCTGCCCCCCTCCGTAAACCCGAAAAAGTAGTTTACCGCAAACCCAAAAGTCCCAAACCCGGAACCCCAAACGATAAGACCCCAACCCCTAAACCCCTGAACCCTAGCGAGCCTGAGGCCTTCGAAGCAGATAGCCATGCCAAGGGCCGCCAAGGGCCGGGGGGGGGCCACAAAAAAAGGGGGGGGCTGAGGGTCAAGGGTACAGGGTGTAGGGTTGAACATATTAAGCTTCCTAAACCCTAACTTCATTATGAAGTTTAGGGTTTAGGGGTGCTAAGAATAAACCCTTCAGTTTCCTTAAGGCCCTGTAGGGGTGGCTTGAGGGCTTTCGGGCTTTTGAGGTTTCAGGACTTATGGGTGCCCGAAACCCTCGAGCTCTGATGCCCTAAACCCCAATCGAAAAAAAGAACCTACAAAAACCCAATGCCCTGAATCCACGGAACCTCCCCGGAAATTGGGGGGGAACATGACCCTGAAGCTCGCCCGTCACCATGAATTCTGGGGCCTCACGGCTCTGGCATAGAGGTTTGATGAAGCTGTGGGCCGCAGGATTGGTGCACTTTCGGGCTCTACTGCATGAGTTTAGGGAGTTTAGGGTTTAGGATTTAGGATTTAGGGTTTAGGGGCCTGAGCTCAGAAACTGCCGGGAAGGAATCCTGGGAGGCTTCAAGCTCGGGCCCTCCCCCCCACCAGGGCCCCTCTCCTCCAGCTCCACCGATTTTCCATCGTGGCCGTCGAAGACCTCGCGGCTTCCGTGCTGCGCACCGAGAGGCCCCAACCCCAAACCCTCAACCCCCTACACCCTAAACCCCAAAAAGCCCTAAGGCCCAAAGCCGACACCGCTTGGCCAAAACACCCATGCAGCCCTGAAACACCGCCAAGAAGAAACCTGGAACCCTGCCCGAACCCCTCACAACTCCCGAGCTCGCACGAGGTTGAGGCCCCAGAGCGTCCAAGCCCCCCCCCCTGCAGCCCAAGAAAAGTCAGAGTAAAAGTCAACCTGAATCTGAAGAACCCAAAGTTTAGGCTTTTAGACTTGAGGGCCTCGGGTTTCGATTTCACGGCTTCAGGGTTTCGGCGGGGTGGAAGGGCTGTAGGGTCCGGGAACTAGGGGCTCAAGGTTTCCCAGTATGCGAAAAATACAGAAGACTAGAACAGAACGGAACAAAACAGAATATATAGACTAGAGCAGAACCGAGAGCACAATCATGCAATTCATCCGCCTGGATCCTGAGTGGCGTCACCAAGAGCACCCTGTACCGGTTGGCCTGCCGGATATTTTTGGCTCGAAGGGCGTTTAAGTCTTCCCTTGGGCCTTGGGCCTGGGTTTGAGCTGAGATGGGAGGGGACTCCAGGGCTTTTAGGGGACTTCAAGGCTCCGCGGAGGGCTCTCAAGTCGCCTGTCACGCGAAGCGCCGGAGAAGCTCCGGGCAGACTCTGTCCGGGTGATCGAACCTTTCTCACCCGAGCAACTTCAGAAATTCCCTCCCCTGCCCGCCCCAAGTCCCCGAACATAGGTGAGCCACAACTCCGCAGAATGCACCACAGCATCTGGCATAACATCTACTCAAGACAAGCGCAATCACCCAAAAGCCAAACAATCGAACACCTTGAAAATTAAAATGGCCGGCAAATAAACAGCATATATTCGGCAGAATATCATATAAGCACTGTTGATCTTGAATAGCAAGATCTGTAAGACGGTTGCTCTCATTCGTAATGATTTGGGCCTCGGGGCCCTCCAGGAGGATGCTGCCCAAGGAGGGCCCTCGGCGACCCTTAGGCAAGCCGGGGGGTAGGATGTCGGATTGATGGGTTCGGATCTTGGGTTCGGGAATTGGGGATTATGGGTTTTTGTTTCTAGGGACTTGGGGCTTAGGGCTTAGAGTGGTGTATGGCAGACTGAAGCCTGGGGACCTGGGATTCATCTAGGCTTCGGCGGGTCGGGTTTCAGAGCCTAGATTCTCACGCCGGGGCCCTCGTGCAAGCTTCTCAGACAGGGCTTGGAAGGAGGATGTCCAAAATCCCGTGTCCAAAGTCTTTCCGGCCGGGTAGAGGCCCCGTCCACTCAGGGAAATGGTCTTCCCTTTGCACACAAACAAAAAGAGCCAATACCTTCTCCGCCACGCCCTGCATCGCTGAGCAGTACCGCAATCCCAAACCGGAAGGCCTTTCAGCGTAGCCCCCTGAGATGTCGGCAGCAGCTTCTTCCCCGAAGCTGGTGGCAAGCGGCTTAGGCGCACTGTTGCCAGCGCCCATGGCTCGGCTCTTATCCACGATTGAAGACCCCCGTTTCTGGCATCGACGATGCGACGGGTGGCTTGGTGGATACGACGGGGGGCGATGTCCTTCATAATTGATTCTGGAGACTGCCGAGAGAGACTTCTCTCTTGTGATAACGGCTTCTGCCGACTGCGCCTGCTTCCGCAAATCAAATCGTCTCAAAGAGTGTTGCGGACTTGGTGGAGCTGCCCGTGGGTTGTCAATGGAGCCTCCACAAAACGGAGCCGGGTACAACAGCGTATGTTGACCTAAGATCTTGCTAACTCCGCACCAGAGCCACAGAAACGCAACATCAGAGAAGCAGTTTTCGGGGGCAGAATGCAGAGCCGTCTCCTGCCAGAAATGCGCCACGTGCTGAATTGTTTTCCCGAATGCCATGGCATTCTGCTCTCACAAGCTCGCATCCGGTCGAAAGCCAAGATGCAGCACAATTGTTCCCACCAGAACTTTTGTGTGCCTAAGACGCTCACGCCATCACAGGAATCGACAAAAATCTTCTAACAGTCTGCATGGTCCCTCTCCCTCTCCCTCGGCTTCCTTAGCTTTGAGCACAAGGGCCTGGCGACATTCACACAGTAAGCACCGGGTCGTAAAGGACTACGTAAATCACATAAGCCTTTGATTCCGCCTGAGCTAAGAAGCTTCAACCTGAAATCTGAACAGTTTGTTCCACGAGGCTCGCTCTGCGGCAGAAAGCGGAGCTAGGCGCATACCAGTGGGCGGAAGCCGCAGCAAGCACAGCAGCCAAAGACGCATCACAGCGCATGGCACGCTGCATGCGAATTTGATCTTGCTACCTGTTGCTCTCAATTAACACCAACCGAGCTGCCACATGCCTGGTTACAGTTACGGGCACACCAAAAAAAAGCAACTTACTCTAACCAATGAAAGAAATGCACGCCAAAGGCGATAGCAACATTGATCTCCACTTGTACAGCTCAGCGTGCTCTCCAGGGCCCATGCTGCAAACTCACACTGCCTGCTCGTGGTGCGCCACAGAATCTTCCATGCTGCTTGCGAAGAAGCCGTTCTACTAGGATCGACGAGTTGTCTCGACTCGACTGCTGCAGGCATCGTTCGTGCACGGACATGAAACCCAAGGGAGATGCCGAAAACAATCTGTATCCTGCAGAAAATGGAACAAAGCCAAAGAGCCTAGCGAGACCCTTGCTGCATTCTTGCCGGACATCGACATCCAGATCTCAAAAACTCGAGCCAAGACTTCAAAGACCCGCAACCTGCAATACATACCTGCTGCATGAGAGGAACATAGTGTCGTACACCTTTATCATGATGCTTCATGACAGTTATGTTGCGACTGTTATTTTTGCAATTACGATGACTATGTGTACGGCTATCTATGACTGTGACTATGACTGGTACAATTGCTACTATTGTTGTCACTATCATTACGCTCATTGCGATCAACACGTTATGCCGTTATGCTTTTTTTGCAATAACTATGAGACAGTCATATACTACTACTACTACTAGCAACGAATGATGGCATCAAGGCAGGCCCAACATGCAATTCACAGGTTGATACAGCTCTGCACAAGCTGAATCTTGACGAACAGTGCGAAATTCTCATGACTGGACTCAGTTAGAGGAAGGCACGCAAGGGAATTTTCAAGGGAGGTGGCGGGGATGCGGAAAAAAGAACTTGCCTGAGACCAAATCAAGCTTGACATCTACGGTTTCTCCGCTTGGACTGACCTTCCTAAATGCGCACATTGGCACTGTTGGATGCTCAGTCGTTCGCTCCCTAAACCCTCACTGCGTCTCAGCATACGCCCGGAGCAGCAGCCTGCGCGAGAGCACGAAAAGACTCGAGAAGAATCCATCGTTGAGGTGCCCATCTCGCCAGCTCTGACAGAGAAAATCGCTGAACTACCGAGAAATATTTGCATGACTCTAACCAGATTGGCTGTGGCTGGTGGCCCGTGGGCCGCTCCACTCTGCAAGCGGCTTCGGGGAATCACGTCGCAGCTTTCTTGCGGATCGGCGGCTGATTGGTGATCGTCTTGATCTTCAGGTACGTCGCCACCACGGCTAAGCCCACCACAACCATGCCTGAGAAGACAAGCTGGGGAAATCAAGCAAAAGGTCCGGACTCATCTGCATCGGGCTTCGGGTCTTTCAGTTCGTAGTTGTGACATCTGGGACTGTGGCACTTACAACGAACAGTGGCTTGCCTTTTGTGACTACTCTCCACACGGCGTCAAGCCACCTTCAGCTCTTTCGAACTTGCCAGCTCGATTCCAAATTTTTCGACACACCATAATCGTGATCGTAAGCTGATGCAGAAGAACCGATGTTGTCCGAACCTATTCTGACCCAATATTTACCGGGCTGCACCCGCCGAGCGCGAGGCCCACTTGTCCGTGCTTGACGATACCTAGCATGACTAAACAGGTCTAAGGTTCCAGGTTTAAGGGACGGGTTTAGGACTCAAGGAATTTAGGGTGTTGGGCCTAAGATTTAGTGCTGGGGAGTTTAGGGCTCAGGGCTCGGGGCTGGATGACGGCCAAAACTAATGAAGCCTCCTCTCACATCTTCGAGAGGCACTAACCACTAATCGCTAACCCCTGAATCCGGAACCTTCAACCCATTCCGACTTAAAAGCAGAATACCTGCAGATGCAAGGCACCTTGGAGGAGGATATCCAGGGCCCAGGCAACCTTGCTGTACAGCAAGGAACACAATCTTTGAGCTGCACTCGCTTGCGAGGTTCACTGCGCAAGGCGCCGAGATGTGCCGAGCTTTGGTTCCTACTCCATCTCGCCTGGGACCCTGGACAGTCCATACATATTGCTACCTGCTAGCCATGATGTTGTGGTGTCCGGGCAAAAAACTCGCCATCGCGGCTGCTGTCTTTGGGTGCATGCTGTTACCGTCTGCTCAATTTCCGGATCCGCTGTAGACAAGCGAACATGCAAACACTTCTTAGGATGATGACCTCAATGATGCAGAGCGAAATGAACACCAAGAGGCTGCGCCCGCGATGAAGCTAAACGTTGGAGCTTCAACAATCCAGGAGATGCCTTGCGCCCACTCGCGAATGTGCTCATCCGGGACGAAGCCAATCATCATGTACAAAATCGTTGACATGATCCTAGGGATCGATTCCCACATTTGCATCAGAATGGAAAGTCTGCATATGGCTGCAGTCTTGCGTACCTAAAGCCCCCATCCCTAAAACCCACAATTTGGTAGACTATGTTTCAAAAAAAGACCCTGCCTCCGGTTTACACCTAAAGGGACACAGCCAGAGGCATCTGCACGCAGGCTGAAGATTCCTAGAGCTTCCATTCGCTAGGAATCAGGGTTTTGAAGGTTTAAGGTTTCGGGGTCATCTGATTTTAGAGATTAGGGTGCTAGGGGTCAAGGTGTTAATGGCATGTTGCGGTTTATGGTTGGATTTATGATTTTAGGGTGTCGGATTACAGCCACAATCACCGTGATCGCAAGGCGAAGCGTCGCTGACACCGTGCAAGATAGCATGGCCACGAAGGACAGGATGGGATGCAGGCAGTTGCAGACGGATGCGCTTCGAAACAAGGACACCTCAGTCGTTTGCAAGCATATGGCTAAGGCAAATTCTGTTGACTGTTCTGGTTCTATGCTGCATGACCTAGCACAGCTCAAACATTCTCCCCTGCATCATTTGGGCACAACCTTATGCAGTCTATTTTGGACGGGAAGCCGTGTAGTCATCGCACTCCACGATGTCTGTGTAGTTGCACATGGTGACGATAAGCGCGGCAATCTTGAAAAGGCAGGTGCATTCATTGAGGGCATCTTGATTGCGGGCTCCAGGTCAACTCTTCTATGGCTGATGGCTGGTTTCGTTCAAATCGCGGAACAAGCATGAAGATACACTTCGGGAGTGATAGAACTGACGTCCATGCGTATTGGAGACGGTTGTGCGGGGAGGCGTGCCTATATTACACACCCTCCTCATGTCACCTTACAGGCCCAACTCGTCTCGTATGGCTTGTGCTGGTCTTGCTCCTTCATCAACACACCTCTAGACAAAGAAAAATATATGTCTCGCGTTCTCGCTCTCTTACTTCTCTAAGTGTAACATCCAGATTATGCTGAGTGCCGTGTGCAGCAATTCAGGGCTCAGGGGGTGTGGCAGCCAATCACACATACATCGCCGCAAGGTTTAGGACTTAGTTGGAGATTTATGTCGGTCCTTGTTCTATTTTGATTTGGTCCTTTTTTCTTTTGTTTGCTGATCTTCCTTCCTTTCCTGCCTTTGTCAACTCCCCACGTCCCATTATTTACAGCAAATAGTGCAAATCTGCTCCTCGCGTCCTAGTATTTACACAGGATGCTCGCTGCGCGTGTCTCCCCCTGTGCTACAGTTCATACTTTCAGTCATTTACAGAAGGTTCTGGGTGATTGTGCGTTTATGGCTTTGTCTAGTTATTGTTCTTTGGTTTCTTCTCTATTTATGCTTGTATTTCTGTCTTTCAGTCTTTCATTATTTCTTGCTTTGTTTATTATTGATTCATATTTTTTCGCTACGTGTATTTGTGTCTGTTTTGTGTACTTCTTTACTACTCCTGTTGTTTCGTTAGCTGTTTCTTTATGTCTTTACTTGTTTCTTTTGCTATCTTGCATTTCTCTATGTCGTTATTGTTTTATGGCGTTCCTTCTTTGTTTCGTTCTGTCGTACTTATATATTTCCTTTTGTTATCTATTTCGTTATTTATGTCTTTCTTTCTTTATTTATCTATGTATTTTTGTCGTTCTGTCTCTAGTTCTTTGCTTGTCTTTCAGTTTTCTTTCTGTCTTCCTGTGTCTGTTGCTTTCTGTTTTCCTTCTGCCGAGGCTCACTGCGCCAGCAAAAATACAAAAGACAACGAGAAAGACGCACTTTTGCACGTTGCATTTGGGTGGTTTAGGATGTGGAGTCGGCCAAAAGCAAGCAAATATCGCAACCAGGCACCACACCAATCGTGCTCCATGCACCCCCGGCGCGATCTCGGAAGCCTCGGCAAAGGCGAGATGGCAAGTGGTTTTTTCTGTCAGAGACAGCCGTCTTTCTTCCGGTACCCTTTCCTGCAGAATCTCTGGTGGCAGTCGATTGCACGGCTGTCCCAATATATCTACGGGCCGTTAGTATTTCTGGTCAGCTAAACACCGTCGTGCACCGTTTGCTGCCGGGCAAGGGACTTCAGACACCGGCGATTACATTCCTCTGTGTCAAGCGACTTTGAGCATCCAGTTTCGTCGTGCCAAGGACTGGCAGCATCAGCAAGAATGGGGACCTCCCGAGTGACCCGCATCCCGCAGCGTCTGTTATGACTTGCCGTCCTAATGTGTTCTGCGAAACCTAGATTGTGGTCCCGGGACTAAGAAGACTGACTCAGAATGACGGGCCCGAATACATGCGACTGGTTGCCACTGTCCCAACTAATCATTAATCAGAAATTCAGCACGCTGAGCACGTTCACTTGCCAAAGCATTGATGGAGTCGTGCGACAGCGCAAACAATCCAAGAAGCAGCCAAGACACCTGCTCATGGCTGCCGCATCCTGCAAGATATCCTTCTTCAGGTCCTCAAACTTGTCACCTGGTGTGGCAATGCACAAATCTAGCCGCTTCAATGCCGCTTCTCTGAACAATTGTGACATGTTAAAGCTGCTTGCAACAAGGCCAAAACACAGCTTTGTGTACAAACTGTCCTGAAACATCTCCGAAGCCCGCCTGCTCCTCGCGTAGTTTTCAGAAACTATACCGGCTTCAACCTGTTACGATCGCCCACTGCCTAAGCTTCTGCTTTTGCATCGAACCGACAAATCCTGCCCACACGTCCATGACAAAACCACCACTTCCGACAAGCAACCCATCTGGTGGGTCATTGCGGACGTCGCAGCGGCGCAAAGCCCACCACAAGCAGCACGGCCCTCCAAACTGATTTTAAGAGGCACTTTGGCCTCCTCATGAGGGGAGCCAATTTGGCTGATCGAACATGAAACGAACATGTGTACAGCATGCCCACAAAAAACTATCAAGACAACAAGATTCCGAGTTTTCTGCCTTAGGCGACCCAGCGCAAGAGGCGTCTGCTCTCAAAAGCGCGAATTTAGAGTGCCCCCCTAATCAGAGAGCTCAGTTCCGTGATAGAGGCGCGAGAGACATCACACTCTCAAAAGCGCAAATCAAAATTCCGAGGCATGTGCTCAAAGCATCCAATGAAATTCCAAGATCGATGTGCAGTAAGAGACCTCAGCAGATTCCAACTCGAAGGAGCCGTTGGACGTGCAACGACTTCACGTGTTTCAGATCGAGTGAGCCGCCAATCATGTTCGCCCAGCGCCACGACCACGTCGGACAAGGCTGACTCGAAGGAGAGTTGGGCCTTTTCAACAGCCGCACGGATGGTTGCCCGCACAAATCCATTCGTGGCTTCAAAGCCCCCCTCCGTTGCCCGGACTCTGTCATCAATCATTCCTGGTTCTCAGATCAAATGATTGGAGTGGCTTGGGAGTTCTATGCCGGCAACAAACATGAAACACTTCGTTGCCGAAGAACCTGCCAAGGCTCGCTTATCATCAGCGGACGAAGCTTCAGCATCCTCCAGTCGCAGGCTGGTTAAGCGCTTGGCCACAGTCAATGCGATGTCCATCGCGCACACCTTTTTCGCCTGCAAGTTCGAAGTCTCCCTCTGGTGCAAGAAGTCACCTGTACAAAGCCAGCCACCGACATGCAAAGCCTGGGTTCGGGCAGTCCGCAACCGAAAGAGGAACGGGGCCTAAACCTTAGGGATGCAAGAGGTGAGCGAAGCTGATTTCCCCCGGGCGGGAGGGAGGGCCAAAAAGCTTGAAACGGTCGAACAATGGCTTGGGAGTACGCGATACTGGCATCGCGCACACCTTTTTCGCCTGCAAGTTCGAAGTCTCCCTCTGGTGCAAGAAGTCACCTGTACAAAGCCAGCCACCGACATGCAAAGCCTGGGTTCGGGCAGTCCTAAACCGAAAGAGGAACGGGGCCTAAACCTTAGGGATGCAAGAGGTGAGCGACGCTGATTTCCGTCTCTAAGATACTTCGGCCGTCAGGGCGACACGCGATTGCGAGGCGCAGAAACAGAGATTGCATGCTCCAACAGAGCTCGAGCGAAAGAGCTGAACAAGCGAATCTTCTCACGAGCGGCGGGCGCCAGCTGCTGCAGGAGAAGCTGGGCCGCAACTTCTTGCAAATAGAACTC